GACTTTTCAGGGAGGGGCTTGGGTTGTTTTGTGCAGAACACACAGGTCTCTGCAGGCGGTGGGTGTGAATTCCTATGACAGCAGATATAACTGAGGAGAAACTTCTAGATCCTTTAACAGTGGCCTTCAAAGGCTTTTTATTGTGCTCTGTTTATGTTCTGTTCATCAGTGAAAGGATGATCTTGGACGCGAAGAAGCTAGGTGCCCAGGCTGTGCCTGACAGAGAATTTTGTTAAAGTTCAACTGTGGACATGGAGTAGGCAATGATGTGGATAGGATGTGACTGTAAGGAGAAAAATGAGAACAGAACTGTTAGACTAAGGGGTTGAGATTCTTTTTCCAGAAACGTAGAGGAGAGTGTGGGGCTTCATGTTGTGATTTGGGGCTTTGGGGTGCATGTTGAGGCAGCTCAGTGGTGGGACAGGGTGAATGTCCAGGACAGTAGGACATGGGCTCCAGGCCACTGGGAGTATAACTGGGAGGTGTGGGTCAGAAGGTAATACACAGAATAGCTACCACTTGTCATTAAGGGTAGGACTACACCTGCTCACCACCTAGTTGCTCACCAGTAGTTGCACTTCAGCCCCTAATTAAAGCAGCACAGCCTTGGGTTAGATGGGATGGTGAGGACAAACAGCCCAGACAGGTTCTTCTAGCTTCTTCATCCTCTCTCTCCTTTCTCCACTCCAGTTGCTTCAATTCAAGGACTTTGTAGTCTAGAAGAGTATGTGCTGGTGCTGCTGTAGGTGGTACCCAAATCCAATCATTGAATTCTCTGGAACTTTGTGACTCAGTTGTTAAATGCAGCCACTGTTAAAATTTACACTGTATAAGCATATAAAGATTTGGATTAAAAGCAAAGGTAATAAATACTCAAAATGCATCACTTCCTACTTATACTTCTCTCAAGGTTGTTTAAATATTTTATAATATCTGTATGGGGGGTGTGTGTGTGTACCACATATAGACTATATATATTCAGTTGTTCTGGGGAAGAATTGAATCAGTTTTCCACTGATAGCAGCCCTAGTGGCAGAGCAGAATCTCCCAGAGGGTTTTCTTGGCTGTGATCTTTAATAGAAGGAAGCCTCCAGGTCTCCTTCCCTTGGGGCTGCTGGGGGTGAAGTGGGATGAGATGAGGAGGTTGGACCAGCCACAGGCTTGTTTAGCAAGTAAGTGCTTAACTAGTGTGCAACTAGGACATCTTCATATTTTTGTGTGTGCGTCCTCGTCTTACTCATTGCCATCGAGCCAGCACTGACTCATAGCTGACCATCAAGCAGGTTTTCAGAGGCTGTAAATCGCACGGGAGGAGATTGCCCATCTTTCTCCCACAGAGCCACTGGTGATTCAAGCTGCTTGCCTTTGGGTTGGTAGTGCAACTCCTTACCACTAGGCCACAAGAGCTCCCTTATATAGATCTAGCTATACATACATTTGAGGTATTGTTGTTGTTGCTGTTATGTGCTACTGAGTCAAGTATGACTCATAGTGACCCTATAAACAGCAGATCTGAACCCTGTCCTATCCTGTGCCATCTTCACACTTCCTGACACACTAGAGACCATTGTGAAACTCAACGTGTCAATCCAACTAGTTGAAGGTCTTTCTCTCATTTGCCGACTCCATCCTTCCAAGCATCATGTCCGTCTCCAATGAATAACTCCTCCTAGCAACATGCCCAAAGTATGTGAGGCCAAGCCTTGTCATCCTTGCCTCCAAAGAGCAGTCCAGCTATGCTCTCCAAGACATTTTTGTTTGTTCTTTTGGCCGTCCATGTTATGTTCAGTGCTCTTCTCCAACACCACAGCTCAAGGGCGTCAGTTCTTCTGTTATTCCTACTTATTGTCCAGCAGAGCAAGCGATTGAAAGACCTCGGCTGTATGATGCGTGGCAACATATATATGTGTCTATATATAGAGGTGTGTATAAGATAAAATAGTGTGTACTGCTCTCCTCTTCTGCAGATCTCTTTCCAGATTTGTGCTCAGTGATTTCATGCTGGTCGCTTGCAGTTGGCCACTCTGGAAGTATCTGCACTCCCTACACATGTGCATTGCCTCTCTCCACATTGGAGTGGAACTTCTGCTAGCTGTCTCCCACCAGACATTGGTTCACAGACTCAGAATGACTCAAGGCCCTTGAGGGGTAGCAGAAACCCTTCATCCAAAAGCTTCTTTCTCTGAGCCTGTGTATTTTGAGGGGCTGAGGCATAAAGAAGGTATAGATTCAAGGGCTTCCATCATTCCTATCTTCCATTCTCTTGAAACTATGTGGCATTAAAGATCAGCATCATCCTCAAGTCTGTCAGCCACAGGCACTAAGTAAGCTTTGCTAGTTAACACTGGCAGTGGAAGTTCAAAGTATGAGTGACCTGCTGCTGATTACAACTATACCCATGGTCCCGTGTGCATATAAGCTGATGCAACCCCTCATGGAATTTTCCACCTATCTGTGATATAGGCGATTTCAGCCCAGGGAGACTGTTTTGCCAGGAAGACATCTGCTGTCAACTCTTCCTGAGTGTTTCCCCAAAACTCTGGGCACAGTAACTTTAGCCAATTTGTTCTTTCTATTTACATGCTGTCTGAGACCTGGTGATCCTTATATAAACAGTTGGGCAAGAGTGCTGAAACTTACCAGCATGCCTTTCGTGGACATAAGGGGCAGTTTTTTATTAGAGAAATAAATGAGTGAATCAAATAGGATTAACCCCTTCAAGTGATTTAACTAGCTATTTCTCACAAATAATAAAAGACAAATTCCTTTCATTCTGTTGAGGATAATAAGCAGCATGGAACTCTATGGGGACTCTACAGGAATTAACAACCTGTTATAGATGCCCATTCTAAACAAGATCACAGTCTAGATTTTTCTTGTTGAGGATAATCATTGAAGCCTTTTTATCAAAAGATGCTAAATCCTTGTTTGAAGTCTCACTTACAGAGTAAGGATTACCAGGCATTTACCTGGGTGTTTTTAAGTAGCCACATATTTGTCTCCACTTTCTTTCCATCTCCTATAATTCTGTGATGAGAGCCATAATCATCACGTAGATGAATAATTCAAGTCATCCCTACAGTGTGAGAAATAAAATAGGGGATTATGATTATGGGTTTTCTCGTAATGTGAACCTCAGTCATCTTAGGTAGAATTATGTTTCTAAGTGTATCAGTCATTCTATATGTAATGCTAGCTCTGAATGAAATGAATTCTAAGTAACTTAATTATTCCATATGAAATGCTAGGGAGCTCTGGTAGCCTATTGGTAAGCAGCTGTGTTGCAATCTCAAAGGCACGTGGTTGGAATCCACCAGTTGCTCCAGAAGAATGATGGAAAGTCTTTTTCAGTGCAGTGTACTGCCTCTGAAAACCCACTGGAGAGTCTGACAGCACACAACAACAACAATGATGACCACTTCATACGCAATACTGAATGCTGTCATTTCCTGATTATTTTGTTATTCCTTCTGTGCTCTTAAGGTTGTTTGTATATTTTATGTTATCTGTATGGTGCATATATATGTGTATTACATATGTAGATTATATACATAGAGTTTTTATGAGACAAAATTGAATCAATTTTAACTTACAACAAACTCAGGGATTTAGCAATGCTGTTATATTGTTAGGTACTATTAAGTCTAGGATGATCCTTAGTAACCCTGTAAACAACAGATCAAAATCTTCCCCTTTTTTGTAAATTTTCTCATAATCTTTGCCAAACTCAAGCACACTGTTGCATGGAACAGGCTTAGTATAGCACAGACTGACTTCTGGCTAATGTCATGGTGCAAGATAGATCAGTCTGGACAGCAGAGTATTCTCGTCCATGCAGTGATTCAAGGATCCAGACTCCTATCATTTGAGCTCTATTATTTTCTAGGCATCAGAGTTTTTCTCTGACTCCTCTGAATTTGATTGCAAGCAAGAGAGGAAAAATGGACAGTTATGCATGAAATGTTATAAGGCCAGACCAATTGGGGCCTGCTTCACTTTTACTCATATTCTTTTGGGTTTTACTCAATTATGCAGCTTTACTCCAATTATACACAGCTTGTACTATGTGCTCTCCATTACCAGGAAGAAAAGGAAGGACATTGCCACAGCTATACAAGAACAATCAGATGACATAAGATGCTTTTTGCAAGCATGTTTTTTAATTTCTGTGTAGGTCTGGAGTTACAGAGAAGATGCATGTGTAGTAACTGATTGATAGCATGACTTCATGACCAAAACGGCAGCATTCATATCTCAGCTTTTCCATTCACCAGATGGAGACATTGTGCAACCCACTGATTCTCTTTTTGTGCCTCCATTTCTTTATATGTAAACTGGTGATAATACTGGAACATACAAGGTATTGCTAGAATCAAAAGACATAATGTGTAAAATGCTTAGAGCAGTGCTGAAAACTTAAAGGCCTACAAGTGTTTGTTAAATAAAAATGAGATTAATGACAGATTTACTTTCCTCCTTGGTATGTTGTAATTTGGATTTATTGCCATTCAGGTGGGTAATGCTTCTTTTTAATTTAATTGTAAAATTATCCAGTAATTGTAATGTGTCATGTTACTACTGTAGAACCTAAGAAGCTTGGGTTTGCTTACTCCACCAAATTTGTCTTGAAATTTGTCTTGAAACTCTGTTTGTGGGGACATCAGCATTGGGATCTTGGTTTCTATTCCCTAAACCCTTCACTCCTTCTGGGTCCCTCAGAGTAGGAAGTGACACACGTTAGTGTCCTTCCTCTTCCTGTTCATAGCCTTTTGGGCTCTGTTGATGCCTCTGAACAGATATCAGAGATCTGTCCATTCTGAGTGCAGTTTGACTTTAAAAAGTCTTTCTTCACTAATATACTATTTTTTTTCATTTATGATGCAAATTTCAGGATAATGCTTGATTTTCAGAAGTATGTGAGGGTAATACAAACTGATTTCCATGTACGGAATCCCCTTCTCAGGAGCGAGCTGGACTAAACCGGGCTCCTTCTCTTGCAGCTCGACGACTGCACACTGCAACTCTCCCACAATGGCGCCTACCTGGATTTGGAAGCGACACTGGCAGAGCAACGGGACGAGTTAGAAGGCTTCCAGGATGACACTGGGTAAGAGCAGCTGTTACCTCTGCTGACAGGTCCCCACCTACTGGGGAATGAGCATGTCTGAAAGCTTCAGATGGTACAGAGAGATACCACTTTTTTCTACTCAGAGTTGCCCAGAAGGGAGAAGTCAGGTACCCATTGGTGGTGACAACACAGTTCCATATGCAGTAACTTCTCTTGACAAGGATGGTCCATGTGGCCTGCCCTGGGAAGATTTCTGGAATTGTTTAATCCAACACAGAATATTTACATTTTAAGATTTATCTTTAAGAAAATCCCAGGAATCACCTTTAAATAGACATTTTTTTTCAGATTTCAGTGGCTGGCAACTGCTTTAAGCGTCATTTTCAAATGACAATATACTTGTTATTTCCCTTTCTTGACAGGTGTCCTAGTGTGTATAACATTTTAAATTCATTAGAGTAAAGAAAAGAATTGCTAATTATGTTAATTAACAGCATGCTATTTTTAGTCAACATCGAAAATAGTTTCGTACTTCTTTTTCTTTGAGACTGATGAAAGCAGTGCAGACATTTATCTCTCTGTGTCATTGCTATTGAAATGGAACTGGTTCAGAGCTGACCCTCCGGCGGGTGTTCAGAGGCTGTAAATCACACAGGAGGATATTTCCTGTCTTTCTTGCCTGGAGCGGCTGATTAATTCAAGATTCTTGCCTCTGGGTTGACAGGGCGACTACCTGCTACTATTACCTGAGTTCCTTCCACATGCTTCTAGAAAGTGGAACCTCTAGATGAACATACCCATATTGTCATCCATTTATAAGTATTTATTAGATTATTGAAGCAGCCTTCTGTTGGAGCTCCTGCTTTCCTTTCTATCTCTCATCCATCTTGGACCAAGACTGCCTCTTATCTTGGAAAACTTCAGAAGCTTCCTGTTGTACACATTTCTTTTCGTCTGATGTTCGTGGACCCCAGAAGTTGTTTAAAACTAGCTGGTGTTAGTGAAAAAGCACTGCAGTCAGCTGAATATTACATAAATGTTTTGGATTTTCACAAATAGTTCTAAAATTGGGTAAAATTTGGAACCTTTGCTGGACTAGCATTATAGTCCTTCCTAACTCCAAGGTGTGTCTGTAGGTTCCTGGGCTTCTGTTTTACCACTGATCGTAATTTATGCCCTTTGTTCCTCTAAACTGCTGCAGAAACTCTGCTAGGTCTCCGTGCTCCCGGTCTAGTGTTTTCTGGGCACCTAGCGGGGGTTCGTGGGCAGATGAATGGCAGGACCCTAGAGTGGATTCCTGGATGCTGTGGCTCTGAGCACCAAAAAGAGCAGGGTCTTTGGTTAGAAGCAGCAGGACTTTTCTGTAAGACCCTTTCTGTCTCCAGGGTGATTGTAAGAGCTGTAGCAAAGTGTGGCAAAGACTATCGAAGTCATCCTAAGCTGTACCCATGGGAGGGGGCATGCCATTGCTAGGTCACATCAGACTCTGCTCATCGTCTTTTTTTTTAATTAACTTTTTTTTTTTAGCTGATAGGGAGATGCCATTGCTGTCCTTTTACCAGGTATCTGACAGCGACATTCTTTTTGTACAAGATGTCAGAATGCAGGCTGGATGACAGTCCAATTGAATAACTTCATGGCTTGTTGATCAAACAGACCCCAAGAGTGTTATGAGTAGATCATTGTCATCTTTAGGAATGTGTCTCGCGGTGTTATGCTTGAAGACCCTGTCCTGTCTGATCTTTTTCCTTTCTAGCAGAAATGTAGATGATTTGGAAATGACATGTTAGAGGAGAAGAAAAGTGCTAATTTGTGCACAATAATATGAAGAGTAAAGGGTAAAAAAGAACACACATCTATCGAGCTCCTAACGTTCCAAGCAAAATACCAGGCACCTGATTAACAGTTTAATGGTTAATTCTCATCACAGTAGTGCAAGTGAACATGATTGTGTCTGGATTTTTTTAGACAAATAAGAGTCAAGAGTTAATTACACATCCAGCTGGTCAGAGCTAGTAAATGGTGGAGCAAGGTTTGTATACATATGTGACCGGTCCCCAAACTTGTATTTCTATACTGTCCCAGCTGCCTCCCAGGAGCTTCTGGGAAAAAGTTATTTCCGGTTTCTGCTTAGCTTGTACATTTGCACCATTGTTGCTTGAAGTTGATTCTAGTGAGGATATCAGTGGCAGGTTATGACACTCACTGGGGGCAGTTGAAACAGCACCCCAACATACTCCAGAGTCACTTGGGGGGCAGTCCTTGCTGCTGCCGCCTGGCATTGGTGCTACAACTTACACTGGCAACATCAGCATCTCCATACCAGAAGCTTTATAACATCTGCTTCTAAGAAACCAGGGGAGTCAACTATAAGCTCCCCAGAGTATATTCTGGTGTTTCCTTCCTTCCTTCCTTTGTTTCTTTAAGAATCATGATACTAAAACAGCTATGAGATATCATCTCACCTCAGAAAGAATAGCAAAATTTAACAGAACAGCAAGCAACAAATGCTGGCGAGGTTGTGGAGAAACTGGAATCCTTATTCACTGTTGGTGGAAGTGTAAAATGGTACAACCACTGTGGAAGGCAGTGTGATGCTCTCTCAAAAATTTGCAAATAGAGATACCATTTGATCCAGCAATTCCTCTACTGGAAATATACCCCAAAGAGACCATAACTGATGTCCAAGCAGATATATGCACATCCATGCTTATCATGGCTTTGTTCACAATAGCAAGGAGTTGGAAACAACCTAAGTGCCCGTCAACAAATGAGTGGATAGAGAAGCTGTGGTATATTCACACAATGGAATACTATGCTGCATTGAGAAACAAGGAACTCATGCAATATTATTAAAAATGGGTGACCCTGGATGACATTATGCTGAGTGAATTACCTCATTCACAAAAGGACAAATACTGCATAGTGCCACTGTTGTAAAACAGGACTGACATTAGGGTTGGGGGGAGACTAAGAAAGATGGGATAAATAATATGTACTGCATTGAAGCAGATGAGGGAGAAAACTGTTTAAAAGGGACATGTGATTAGGTATTATTGTCATGATAGGAGTCCAGAATGAAGGCTTCATAGTGGAATGGACCTGGAGGGGAGGGATTGTAAAACAATGAAAGAACTTTTTTATTACTTTTCAAAGAGAATAGTGTGCTGGTGGGGGAGGGGTGGGCAGGGAGAAAAGTGCAACAATGAATGAATGGAAATCAAAAGTCTCTGTAAATTTTCATTAAAATTAATAATAATAAAAAAATTTTAAAAAAGAGTCATGATACTGCTGTGGATCTATCTGATAGGTGAAGTGTAGGTCACATGGCTGCATTATAATAGCAAGGAATGCTGAGAAAATGAATTATGGAAACACTGAGAACATAGAGCTAACAATATGGGAAATGGCAAACAGAAGAAGGCAATTGAGAGAGACTGGAGGGCTACAGGTTTGTCCCTGAGCTCTGGACTCACCCTACAATAGGCTTGTGTCTTTGCAATAACATTTGTGCCAGGTGTTTTATCCTTTGTCCTTTAGAATATTCTTCTTGAGGTTCTCTTCTTAGTCCTGAAGAATGTGAAGGAGTTGTTTTGGTTGGTCTCTCTGATGGGGAGTTCCACCTGCCTCTGATGACCTGAGATTTAGAAGACCTGCCAAATTGATGCTGCCATGGCACTGCCACGCCAAGCCACAGGAAGGTACTTGGAACTGGCTATGTAGGGGTTCCTGAGGTGAGGCTTCCCCTCCCTCCACAGCTGGGGCTGTGTTCTGGGCACACCGCTAGTCTGCTTGCATGGAAGGTTCTCCTCACTTCTTTCCTTGAAGCCTGACATTTGACAAGTCTCACAACCTAAGTGCTCATGCCTCTCAAGAAAGGGGGTTAAAATAGAATTTTTCCCTAGTTAAAGTATTGCCGTGTTGAGACCTGAAAATACCCCTCAAATACTGTTTGTAACCCCTTTTCTCAATTTCTTTGTGTAAATGTTAATCTTGTGACCACCCAGCAAGTTGTGCGAAATCAGTGATGTTTTCTTGTACAGCAGGTTCTGTCTGGGTGAGTTTCTCCTGCTGCAGGAGTTTGTTTCTTTGTTCCAGTCTATTACCCTCCTCCTTTGTGCCATGACTAAAAATTAACTCACTTGTTGTTTGGAATTATCACTCAAGCTATGGCTAGTCAGAGAAGAGGAGAAAGACCTTCAAATGTAGAAGGACAAGGTAATTATTATGCTGACAAAACAGAGCCAGGTCTGCTCATTGCTCATTGTCCAAGGCCAGCGAAACTAGCAAGCGCAGCATGGTGCAGGAAACGGGAGACTGGAGTCCCCGTGTTGCTGTGCCTGACCCTGCTATTGTGTGACCTTGAGCAGGTCACTTTACCTCTGGCAAGAATTGCTAGTCTGAAGTGAGGACTGTATTACCCATGCCCATTTTTCTTTCAAGGCTTCCAATAGAATGGAAAATAGCATAGCAAACTGGCTAGAAATATAGACTTTGACCTTGGGCCATGGTTATACATGGGCAAAAGAATGCAGCATAGCCCTTTGAATGCTGTCTCTGAAAATAACCCGAACAAGGTCCTGGACAGAGTAGGGGGAAGTCTGAACATCATAAAATGATTAGACTCACTGGTTGGCTAGAGATTGGTAGGACTCCCAAGCTATGGCCTTTCGAGACCCTTCAGACATTAACTCACACGTTGGAATCACCTTTCGCCCAAAGAATAGACAAGCCTGTAGTACGAGAAACTCACTCTTCAGAACAGTCAGCCCTATGAGACCAAAGGAACAGAATTGCAATTAATGTCATGAAACAAAATGTCTGCAGATTATTGAATAGAAAACTCACTTGCTCTGTAAATGCTCACTTAAACCACAACTTAAAAAAAAAAAAAGTAAACCCAGTCCCTAACCCGTGGAGACTCAACTCTGGTTGATGAGGTCCAGAGAGAAAGTGCTGTGTGGAAGACTGGGGTCAGTGATGAAATTGGAGTAGGGGGCTGTAGGCTAACATCACAGTTTGCAAATTTGCTTTGTATT